GTTGGGATCGTAACATTTCTGGATTAGCATAGCTTCAGTCACAGTTCTAATCTCTGTGATCATAGCAAGTTGAGGCCTGTTCGTGCTGATGTCTCTGTTTCCCCCCAGGACATAACTGGGTATAGCTTGTGACTCAGGAAGCAATCTACTGACTCCCTGGAATTCTAGACAGACTGGGACAGTTACTGCATCCAAGAGTGCACAGCAACAACTCGGTATCATCAAATAGTAACTGGATAGCACAGAAGGAAGCCACTGAGGGATGGAAGGAAATCATTTCCCAATTTCTTCAAATTCTTTTCATGTAAGAAAAAAAAAATTGTTGTAGGTACGGTTTCATTGACTAGTCATCTATAAAGTTGGAGATGTAATGCATAGTCCCTTCCCAGTTCTACCACATAATTAAAAAGCTGCATCTGTTAATCTGCTAACTACATATTTACCAGTACACAAATGAACCAAGTAAAACAAACGTCCTACTCTACAGCTGCATGAGCAATACCGGACCAAACAATATTTACGCCAGCGGTACATAAGTGAGTGTGCAGGGGACATTTCAAAGTGTCATAAAACTATTGGTACATAGCAGATTCTGGCTGTTGGGAGATATAAAAGGCCAGAATTAAGCTGGAGAGGATAGGAAAAGGTAGCAGGCAAATTAAGCTTCTTGATTCCATTCTTCCCAGTATTGCAGAACCTAATTTTTGCCATTACATCTGGTATGTTTGTGAAACCTGGGGCCACTCCTTTCGTCATTACCCACCCCTGGTTAAAATAGTGTCTCATTTGTCCCTTCTCATAACACACTGAGTAGTTCCATGACATGTTTAACTCCTCTCATATAAAATCACCTTAAAGGCATGCATTGCTATTTATAATGTGCATGCATGCCCGACTCAGGTACTGAATTCATGAAGCTTAAGGAAAAGCAAAGAGTCTCATTGTTCAAATATAATTGAAATTGAAAATATTCATGGCCATTACAGTAGACCAAGAATGGATATCTCAAACCATGGATCCGAGACAGTTATGCAGCTCACACATCTATAGTGTGTGTGTGTGTGTGTGTGTGTGTGAGTGTGTGTATGTGTGTGTGAAACATATACTATTTTAATATGTTTTCCTCAAATATTAAATCATAGAATCTGCAGCTAATGTCCATGTACAATACAACAGGGTTTAGATCTCAGAACACATAGGTAGACAGATAGATGATAGATAGATGATAGATAGATAGATAGATAGATAGATAGATAGATAGATAGATGTCCTATTTAGTCAGAGATAGATAATTAGTCAAGAAAGTAAATTTTTCATCTTGGATATTGGTATATACATAGAACCTCAATAATCAGGAGGCTTAAATAGAGAGTGCCAGTCAAGACAGGCTTGGGCAACAGAGAAATTAATAACTGTTTTGATTAATAATTGTAAAATACAGAAAGTAAAAGAGAATTGGTTAATGTTAATAATTTTCTCTCTAAAGTCAGCACGCTATCATTTATTTCACTATTTTCTATTGCACAGTATTTTTGTATCTTTGCCTTATGGAACTTAGGGGCTCTTGCAAATTAAGCAAACTCTCGATATTTGAGCTTTATCTCCAATACTCTTTTTACTCTGCTATTTTTTTAAGATATGGTCTCACTAGTTTAACAAAGCAGGAACTGAAATTGTAATTCTCCTGCCTCTGACTCTTGAGTAGCTAGGATTACAGCTCTACTCCATTAGGGCCTGACTTACCAGTTCATTCATTTATTAAATCATCAACATGCTAAAACTTTAGAAAGCATTTACCCTTATCAGTCTGTATGTTCAATCTGTATTAGAAAGCAAACAACTGCTCTGAAAAAAACTGTGTAGAGTCTTTCAACAGGACAGTAATTTTCTCAGAATCTTCTCATGATATGATATTCTTAGCATTTAGGGATAGATGGAGTCCCATTTTTAAAAAAATGACTTCTGGAACTCTAGATGTGTCCCCCCCCCACACCACCCTTTCCTCAGCCTTTGCCAATGCATGAGCCTCTTTCTGCCAGGCTAATATTATAGTGACTACATTAGAAAGGAAAACAGATTTCCCCTTTTGCTCATTGTTGATAGATGTTCTTTGACTCTACCCCAAAAGGCCCAACAACAAACAGCAGGGGAAAAACACAGTACCTGAGTAGCCTGTTACTACTTCCACCCAAGGCTGGGGAGTTTCTTATTGTTATCACAGACCTAGGCATGTCTATAGTCATTGCCACAGCCTCATCGCCTTCTACTTCCTATCGCCACCTCTACGTTTCAGTGGCAGTTTTGGAAGGGCACGATTTTTCTCACTCAGTTTGGTTTCCTGATTTCATTTGCTATCTCTCCCTAATTTCTTTCTTTCCCCTTGATTTTTCTTCCTGCTTTCCTGGACAATCTCTCATATTCCTTCCTTGAAGCACGTTCTCGCCATCATAGTTTTCTTCCTACCTGTTGCACAGCAATATTGGATTGTAATCACATCCTAGGCAAACCTTCTCAGTGGAGGGGAGCTGTCTGGGACACAGGGAGGAAAGACCAGTGACTGCAGTGAAGATGGATCAGGTCCCAAGAGAACAACAGGGCCCAGCTCATCAGGGGCTCAGAAACAGGGAGCAGCGACAAGTAAGTAAAGAGAAGGGGAGGAGAGAACATGTGGGACCAGGAGGATTGAGTTTGGGGACGAACAGACGAGAGCGGAAACAAACAAGAGAGAGAGAGAGAGAGAGAGAGAGAGAGAGAGAGAGAGAGATACCATAATAGAGGGAGCCATTATAGGTTTGAAGAGAAATCTGACTCTAGAGAAATGTCCAGAGACCTACAAGACTGACCCCAACTAACAATCTCAGCAATAGTGGAAAGGCTACCTTAAATGCCCTTCCCTGATAATGAGATTGATAACTTATCCACCATCATAGAGCCCTCATCTAGTAGCTGATGGAAACAGAAGCAGAGACCCATAGCTAAACCTGAGCCAAACTGGAAATCCAGATGCAGAGAAGGAGTCAAGGGGTCAAGACCAGGCTACAGAAACCCGCAGAGACAGCTGACCTGAACAAGGAGGAGCTCCTGGACCCCCAGACTGATAGCTGGGAATCCAGCATGGGACTGACTCAGACTCCCTGAACATGGGTCTCAGTTAGAAGGCCTGGGCAGTCTAAGGGACTTCAGACATTGGAACCAGGATGTATCCCTGGTGCACAAAAGGACTTTAGGAGCACATTCTCCATGGAGGGATACTCCCTTAGCCTAGAGGCAGGAGGGAGAGCCTAGTACCTACTCCAAATGACTTGACAGATTTTGTTGATCCCTCCTGGAAGGCATCACCCTCCCTGTGGAGTGGAGGGTGGGAAATGGGATGGGAGGGGGTCAGAGGGAATGGGAGGGAGGAAGAGGGAACTGGGATCAATATGTAAAATAAGAAAAATAATGAACATATATATATACGTATTCATACGCACACAGAGACAAATGATCAGGGTGCATTATGTGAAATTTCCAAGTAATCAATAAAACTATTAGGTTAATAAAAAATGATAAGCTGGGCAATGCTGGCACATGTCTCTAATCCCAGAACCTGGGAGGCAGAGCTAAGCAGATCTCTGTGAGTTCAAGGCCAGCCTGGTCTACAGAATTGGCTCCAGGAGAGCTAGGGTTACACAGAGAAACCCTGTCTTGGAAATAATAATAATAATAAAATAATAATAAGTGCAATCAAATTCCCGATAGTATGAGAAGGATGACCGGCTTGTTGCAGGCCAGAGGGACAAGGGAAATGTCCTCAATAGGCCTACAGTCAGTCACCTGGTAACATTTAGACAGCTCGGGTTTATAGATTGAATGCAAGAAGGAAGCGTAACAGCAGACTCCACAGCCCAAGGCCCAGTCTGACCCGCTGCGTTTCACACTCTCTAGCTAGCACAGAGCCTGTCCCTTCTCACCCCTGCTTCTCTGCTTCTATTCAGTGTCACACCCACAAGGGAGTGTGAAGCTCTGTACCAGCTCCACGTCCTGTTCCAATGTCAGTTCAGGAACCACAGACTCCAGAACGCTTCCTGAGCTTCCCCAGAGGGTCAGAGCCACCACCACGGTCGCTGTTCTCCTAGGACCCACCATGACCACACTGCAGGGTTCACAGGTTTTCCTTCCATGGGGGAGACGCTAGCAGAGCCGTGGGGAACGCTAGCAGAGCCGTGGGGAACGCTAGCAGCTAGCAGAGATGTTGAAGCCAGGTACAGGAGGGTCTTTGTCCTAATTAGGCCAACTATGTGAACTTAGCTCTGTTAATAAGGAAGCCTGTGTCCCCACCATCTGCCTTTAAACTGCAGATAGAATGGTGTGCTTCACAGGAGGCTTCGGGTGCCACAGTACAAGTAAAATGCTCACCACAGCGCCTGCGCGGAGCAGACTCTGGCTGGATGCTATTAGCACCAGCTCTCTCGCTACGGTTTATAACTATCCACTTTCACCTGATTATGAGACACAACGCGAAATCAGGAATTGCTTTGCTAATTCTGGACTACTACCAAAAAAAAAAAAAGTTTGGTTTTTTTTCAGTGAAGCAATCAAGGTAGTTTATTCATCATACCTGGTAAAAAGCACCCGAGTTTCTTAGCAATTACTGTGAGTACTTTCTGCGCCCCCTAACGAATTTTAGTTCTCTGAAGCTATCACTTACCTAGTACACTATATGAGCTCACAAGAATTTTTTTTTTTCCTCTAAAGTTCCACCTGAGCAGGTGCATTGCACACACAGAAGACAGGGAGGGAAGAAACGACAGAGCTTGGAGGGGCAGAGGGCGTGACCCTCTTAATCATTCTTCACTTCCTTTTTTTTTTTTTTTTTTTTTTTTTTTTTTTTTTCTAAGATGACTTGGCAACGTCCGCCGCATCAGCGGCAGAAGCTGCGACGCCTTCTCAGTGGAACTGACTCAATAGCGAGCTTTTGCACTGCTGCACATTTGCGGTTTCTGTGGACATGTCATTAACCGGTGGTTTTAGCTTCAGTCTACCAGAGTTGCCAAAGCGGTTAGAAGTCGTTTGGAAAGCCTTTTAGGCGAATCTCTCTGATCCAGAAAGCCAGCTGGTTTCTCCTGAGGTGCTTTTGAAATTTGCCCGCGACCACTGATCCTGGCCCAGGTGCATGGGGAAGACGCTAAGGGTATAAACTCAAACATTGAACCTGAAGACAGCGCAAAGTAGAAACTGAAACTACCCTGGCTGCTCTGCGGGCAGAGCCTACGGAAGTCATGCTGGCAAAGCCACAGCCTCTGGCCAGCCGGTGATGCATGCGGCCCCTCCTGGGATGGATGGACTAGGCGCGACGTGGGCGAGAGGAGCCAGCTGCCCGGACTGCCCTGCCCAGCACCGGCGTGCGGCCACTCGGCGGATGTCCGGGGTCCTGGGCGTGATTATGGGTGATGAGAGCTCGCTCCTGCTTCAGTTCCAGTCATCATGACTACACCCACCTCCCGCAGACCATGTTCCATGGTAAGCGCTGCTCTCCCGTGCGCACGTAGGTGCGCCTAGCGCGCCGGGGACTCTGGGACACACCGGGACGCGCCACCCGCCCCCCGCCCCCCGCGCCTCTGCACGTCCGGGAATAGCCCGGCCTTGCACTTTGGACCGGCTGGGAACACAGCCTCTCCCATGGTCAGCCACTACCCTTGCTGAGCTGGGTGGCCCAGAGCCATTGGCACCTGGGCGTACAGCCCTGGGCAGGGCAGGAGGGGATGAACCCTTCTCGATGCCGGCTTTGGATCCCCAAACCCAGAGCCCGCCCTAGTGCAGGAGTCACACCGCGGTGGCTGCCTGCATCCAGGTCTCAGAAGTCAGTGGCTATCAGCCACACTCTGTCCCTAGCCAGAAACTTGCCCAAGCAGCCCTTCCCTGCTTCCTGGCTGCGCAAAGTTACTCACAGGCTGCCTGGGTTCAGGGAGTCGCTGGGTTCCCGTAGCTCACAACTTCATAGAGAATGCAAGAGCCGCTCGGGGATGCGCTTTTAAACCCTAAAGGACAGGTCATTGGAAAACCCCCTCTTCTCCTCTCAGTAATTCTGGGAGTTTCCGACCCAGGCTGTATGTTGCATTGTTTTCTGGGAGCCGAAGTCCCGGGACTGGAATCGCAAAAAGCCAGATTTTTTTTTTCCCCTTATACTATAAGTACCTACGAGTACAAAGTCTTCGCCCCTGATCAAATCTAATAGGTTTGCAATTGTTCGAAATAAGTAAGGACTTAACGTGGACAAGAACAGAACTGACAGTGGGTGGAATCCGCTTGTAGTTGGAGCTAAAATAAATAAACAAACAAATGCTGTAACAGCATAGACGAGAACGCGATGGAATGCGAGGAGAGGAAATGTTTCCCAGCAAATATTTCTGAGAGCAAGAGAAACTGTAGGAGCGCAGGAGCATGGAGCCTGCCCAATGCCTGTCGTCCTTCCCTTCCCAAAGCTCTGTGTTGTTGCTTTCCCGGCCACTCTTAGTTCAGATTACTTTCCATCTCTTATGTAGGAAAGGACCAAAGAACTAGCACAACCGGAGTACTTGTCAGAAATCAAATAGAAGAGGTACGCTTTGTAAGGGTGCAATCCAGGAATTTAACTGCAGTCAGAAAAGAGTGTATCTTTAGAGATTCCCTTGCTGCTGAATCGCTTCCTTCTGCTTCACTCCTGACTTTAATCCTTGACTAACCAATGATCTGGGGAGATAAAGGCACAAAAGAAAGCAGAGGTGTGTGGTTTAAATACAGGGGCTTAATGTCCTGTCCATGGTAGCACATTATAAGGTGTTAGTAAACAGAGTATGACTTTAAACTCTTGGTTTAAAGTGAGTGGCTTCCTTCATATTTTGTTCCAAAATACTGCACTAGAAGCTTAGGCTCCCTCAGATAGTGCACTGGGCTATTCTTTGTTTCCAACCCGTTATTTGGGGGCAGTGAGTAAATGAAGACTCACTATGCTGCCTCATTTAGGCAATTTTATTATACACACATGCATGCATGCTAATAAAGTGAGCTCATGAGAAAATACAGCATTGAGAATGAATAGGGAACCTGAAGAGCTCTAAAGGAGAATAATAAATCTCTCATCAGTGTGTGTACCTCTTAAACAAAACTAGAAAATTCTTCCATGAAACTAATTTGCATGGCCCATGGGTATGAACTGTTTTTATATTAACTGCTGACAAATAACTCAAGAATATGTCCAAATATTTACTCTTTTTCCCTTAAAATGGAAGCATATGCTATATTTTCAGAGCTTTGCCTGGAAGTACCTTGGTGACGTTCAAGCAGAAGACAATGATTTTTTTAACCTCATTTGACTATCTTTATAGGTAGTTATGATTATAAAGAGTGTAGTTGAGTAGCTAGAAGCTGAATCCCTAGACAAATAAACCTGAGTGTGTCAGATGTGAGTCCTGGCTTCTCTCGGAAGCAACATTTGGAGAACTGTTCTTTGAGCTCCAGTTTCTCCACTGTAAGATGTGAATGACCTATATGCATGAACACCGCCGGGTGGCAGGAGAATTGAACTCCCTGTTGAAATAGACATACAGAAGGACATTCAATGAATGCTTCTTAAAGTGGATGGGAAAAGCCCCCAAGGCCTCAACCCTAGACAAAGAATTGCAGTCAGCTAAGAAATGCTGAGTGTGGGAGAAACAGTCTTCCCCAGGGAAAAGCACACCAATTGGGTATCCAAATGGTCAGCCTGGAAAACATACATATAAGTAACATTAAACAGACTTGAGCAGGTTTTGTCTATGTGCACAGAAACACACATACCAACAATTAATAAGGGAAGAGGCCATAATTTTGAAGTAGAATAAGGGAAGGGTATATAGGAAGGTTTTGTAGGATGAAATGAATGGGCGAAATGAAATTATTTTGTAATCTCAAAAATAAATAAATAAATAAAAGAGACAATTAAAGAAACTGATTTATGACTGGATATGACGGGCTGAAGAAGCCAATTTATTTATGTTCACTTTGACCTCATAACTCAAGCAGCTGAAAATCGAATGTATTATTTGGCTTACGTTAAAAACCAACAAGAATTTTTCGACAGCTATCATTCCGGTTTAGCCAAATTCCCTACTGAAAACAAATTCTCCAGTTTCAAACCCTTTGGGAGATTTAAAGACAATCCTACATGCCAACACATGCCTTGCATTGTTCCTACAGTTTGTCTTATCTGTGACCTAATGAAAGTTCAGGGGAATGTGGTGTGATACAAAAAGAAGCAAAATATGGCAAACATTTGAATGCCTTTCACACTGAGAAACAGTGTTAGAAACACCCACAAACAATAATGATGGAAAATCTTAATTGTTCATGTACGTGCATTTGGAAGAAACAACTGCACTTACAGAAGAAAGCACACACTATCCTATCGAGAGCAGAGCCAGGGACTGATGAGATAGGCATCTTGGGCCCTGGTGTGTTCATGGAATTATGCCTGAGGCAACTTAAATATGAATGGCTCCTCTATTTGGTTGATGAAATAGAATCTTAAAAGTTAAAGAGTTGGGGAGATGAAAGAGAAGAGAGGTACATTAAGGAGGAGTCGATGAAAGTTTTCATTTTGGAGATCATGTACAAGAAGTGTAAATGAAATTCAGCTATTTAGTCTGCCTCATAGCCTGTAGTCAGCTGAAGACAACCCCCCCCCCAGTGCTCTATGTCCTAAACTCTCCCTCTCTTGTATTACCCTAGCCTGTCAGTAGCTACCTTGCTCAATCATGTAAGGGTCTACAGATGAAAAACTGTATTTTAAGAATAGTTTTAGAACTGAAATTTTCATATAGCACACATATGCAAAGAACATTCCATCAAACCAACACTCTAAAGCATTGACAAAATATTTCCAGAGAATCTTAAGTTCATATGAACCTGGGAAGCACATTATTATTGAAAACTGGCATGTAGAAGAAAACTGATAATCTTATGAAGTAAAACAAATTAACTTATTAAGCAGAAAATGGGCCTTTGACATAGCATTTATATATAGACGAGAATTAATCTCTTGCTAATGGCATCATCACATTCTGCTTTGAGTTCAAGTCACATTCCTCCAGCTGTTTTCTCTGTCTACTCTTCCCAAAGTTTAAGTTTTAGAGATCTATAAGGCCAAAGATGAAATAAAGAGCATGTTGCTCTAAAATTTTATATAGCTCTGATTAAAATGTGTTAGTAATTGATAACTGTGTCTCCTGTGTGAAAGAATGGCAATAGGAGAGGACTAGATGAAGGGTATTGTAAGAAAGTGACTGGGGGCATCTTAAAACCACATCCCACTGAAAGAGAAGACTCAGGTTAGCACCTAAACTCAGTCACTGTTGTTACTGTGCTACAAAAAGTAGGCTAACTTAAAGGTCTACCTTTCTTTACGTATTCAATAAAATATGTAACATATACTTATATCCATACATATATAAATAGATTATCATCAGTGATAGATACATAAGATGGTAGATGACAGACTGACAGATAGATTTCCTAGTAGTTCCTGGCTCAGTAGTCCAGTTAAAAGCAGCTAGGATATTAGTATTTGATCTGAAATGAATTATTTAGTGATGAGTTTTGAATAAATTCCGCGCCCATTCTTGGATTGTTTTCTGAGCATACCAAGTATTAGCTTTATATGAAGATGGGAAGCTATGAATTATGGTATTGGTGGATGTTTCAGTCCACACAGCAGCTCCCAAATAAATACACTGAAACTTAATATTAATTACAAATGCCTGGCTGATAGTTCAGGCTTGTTTTTAACTAGCTCTTACACTTTAATTGATTTCTATTAATCTATGTGACTCCGGAGGCTCATGGCATTTGCCTCTATCTCATTTTGTATGTCCGACTCATTCTGGCTTACGAAACCTCTGAACTCACCCTTCCTCCTCCCATCATTCAGTTTGGCTCTCCCACGTAACTTGGTCCTCAGCTACTGGCTAGTCATTTTCTTTAGCAAACCAATCACAGTGATAAATCTTCACATTACGGGGTTTTGAGATTAAAATATGATTACGTCATTTCCCTTCTTCCCTTTCCACCTTCCAACCTCTCCTATTTACCGCCATTACACTCTACTTCAGATTTTCAAATTCATGGCCTTCTGTTGTTACTTAGTGTGCATTATATACATATGGGGGGAGGGAGAAAGATGGGGAACAAAGATATTCATAAATATATAAATACAATGTGCTTGTTCTGTATAATATCACTTGTATATATAAACGTTCATGACTGATGATTTGGTAATGAATAACCAATGTGTGCGGGGAGGGGCATTGTTCTTCACAGCACTCACCATACCTGCCTTAGTTGCCTGTAGCTCTTTGTCTGTGGTTGAGGCTCTGGGAGATCCCAGAACTTCTACCAATCCCACTTTCTTTACTTGTAAAAACATGGGTCACTTAAGTTATAATTTATGATGAATACTTCTGCCTTCTTAGTATCATTGGATAATAGTATAATAGATGATATCTTTATGATATACTCTGAAGTCTCCAGACTGTTGCCAGGGTCAGTTCTTTGTGTTTATTAAAATGTTTAGACCCTAAATAGAGAGGATGCAAATAAAATGCTGAGCGCTGAATGTTATACTGTGGGTTTGTAAAATTCATGGTGGTAAGTACACTATTGTTGACGCATACGAGTTCATGAAAAAATGAAAGCAAGACATGTATGGACTCATTGTTTTTTTTTTTTTTTTTAAAAAAGAGGGGGTTGGTTTTAAGGTTCCTAGGTTGCCACTTGATTTTCATCTTAATTATTTACCCCAGGTGATTTCATTTAAGATTGTATTCCTTTTGATTGAATCTGATTGGCAAGACTTACCAAAAACCATCAGCTGAGAAACCATGGACCTTTTCTTTGAGCTTTCTTAACATAAAAGAGTGCTATTCTTGAACAGAATCTACATCTTTGGGGAAATAAATACACAAAATAATAATACTGAGAATCTAACATTGGCAGAGTCTGGGAAAGAAGGTAAAACTCTCTCAGGTTCATCATTACAAACAGAGAACCACTGTAGTGTAACATCAAAGAGGTCCCCCTCCACATAACTTCCTCCAGAAAAAGATTAAGGTTCCTAATTGCATAGAATCGCTGTAGTGCAACATCGAAAAAGTCCCCCCTCCACATAGCTTAATCCAGAAAAAGGCTAAGGTTCCTCATTACAGAAAAACACTACTGTGCAGCATCAAGGAGGTCTCCCTCAACATAACGTCCTCCAGAAAAGAAGACTAAGGTTCATCACTATAAAGAACCACTGTAGTGTAACATCAAAGAGGTTCCCCACTCCACATAAAGACTGGATTTGCCTTCATGAGGACTATAGTTTCTGTGTAAATAAACATTTACATGACATCTTTCACTTACTTTAAATAATGTGTGATTTTAAGGAACTGTAAATATGTTTTCGTTCAGGGATGTTTGCTATAAATCCAACTCACAAAGCTGTCACCCCCTCCCTTGCTGGACAGCTTTCCGAAGTCTGTTATTCCATTACAGCACTTCTGCATAAAATGTGCATACAACCTATACACCAACAACAAACCCTAACCCTAAACTAAATCGCTGCCCTTGCTTGTCATACAGTTTCATTTTTTTATAGCTCTTTGTATGTTATGTGGGAATTGAGATGTAATTTTAAAATTATTAGACATAGGTATTCATTCCCACCTCGTGTAACACGCTGTGGCATCTACCTTGGGCTCATTAACTGTTGGATTCAGTTTCTTTCAGATATATCTTTGGAATTCCTCCCCTGATCCTTGCTCTGTTGCCTGTCACATCATCTGACTGCCACATTAAAGATAAAGAAGGTAAAGCATATGAGAGTGTGCTGATGATCAGCATCGATGAATTGGTACGTGCTTGTTTTCCTTACATTCTCACTTACTGGAAAATGTGAATATGCTTTTGGTACTCACTTCTGTAATCAGATGTTCACTGTAATTCTTGATGAAGAAGGAGGTAAGTGGGCAATAAAATACATGACCTAGGAACTTTCATGGTTGGCATTGCTCTGTCCCTTAGGGATTAACCTTTGCTGCGCACAGTCTCACATTATCCATTTAGGTCCTGTTTCCATTTTCTACCAAATAAGCAGAACTCATCACTGCCTGAATGTGTTTGCCTCCTATTTAACCTGTTCATTGTGAAAGATGCCTTACATTAGGAGACAAAAAAGTAACAGAATATAACTTCTGCAAATTGTGGTGGAAAATAATGTATAGCTATTTTATCTTAGAGTGTACAGTTGCATCTATATTCATGTATTTATTTTTTACTATGTACAGCATATAATTTTCTCTAAGCTAATGTTTACTTGCCGTGAATAAATTATGTTCCTAAGTAACAGACTTTATATCATGAAGATTTTGGTTATGGAACATTTAACCAACAAGTAGAAAACATCCATTTACTCCCCCCAACCCTTGAATTTCCCCCTATTATTATATAGTGAGTTTGTTGCAATAGATGGACCAGTGCTAACATGCTAGTTTTCTGTTTCATCCTATGTGTTATTCAGGTCTTTGGTTTAAGTCAACATATATATCCGCACAGTATCACACACCATGGCTTCACTGGCTTCACCTCTCTCATACCATGTTCAATCAATCCATCTTTCTCTCCCTTCCCAGGATCCTTGGCAACTGTTGACCTATTTACCGTCTTTCTCGTTTTTGCTGGAATGTTAAGTTGTTGTAATCATTCTCAGATTTCAATCTTTCAAACTTGACTATTTCTCTTAGAAATGTGAGTCAAATTTTTTATCGTGTATAAGAACGAATAAAATATCTCACTGTCATCTATGTAGCTTATTGGGTGAGACCTATTTATCCAAATCCTAAAGACAGTCTCTTAGACGTCACCCTGCGATGCCTCCCCACCACTGTGACTTCCCTTGACTTCTTTCATTAGAGCTTTGTATTCTCCTATCTACAAATCACATCCATAATTAGTAGACTTATACTGAAATATTCCATATTTTAGCAGGACTCTGAATAATCCTAGTTTTCATTTCAAATTGCATTCATTTATTGCTGGTATATACAGACATTTGTTTTCTATATGTTAACCTTATATCTTGCAATATATTTTTTAAAAAAAAATCACTACTTTGTTCCAGGAATTTGACATTTCTTTGGGGTTTCCACATAAATATTAAAGTAACATGTAAGATTGATTTAATTGGTAGTCTTACATTTTTAATCAGACTTGAAGTCTTATATGGTAAAAAAAAAAATCCTCCCAAATGTTCATAAGGCAGAAGACATTGTTTTAGGTCCCTTTTGTCTACTCTACTGTCTGTGCTACATACACTGAAGTGGACTGATGTCTTGCAATTTTGTTTTGCCTCTTGGAGATGTATGGAAAATGCAAAATGTTTATTTAATGAAAACTGGGACATAAAGGTCTTTGTTGTTTGTTCACTGACAGAAAAAACAAAAGGGTGCCCACCATACAGCAATTTCCACATTTTCTATTTCATATTTGGGCAGAGTGAGCTCCAGGATAGCCAGGGCTACACAGAGAAACTCTGTCTCAAAACAAAACAAAACAAAAAAATATAGCTATAGATATAGATGATGATGATGATGAAGATAGATTGATAGATACATATTGGATGGATGGATGGATGGATGGATGGATGGATGGATGGATGGATGGATTCATCCCTTTTGGAACATTTTCTTTAGCTGTAACAGTTACTTGTCTGTAGTTGTTCACAGTATATTCTGCATAGGTCTATGGTATCAATCTCCTTTATATTTCTGATTTTACTGATTTAGTTTTTTCTTCCCTTTTCTCTAAACATTTGCCAATTTTGGTTATGTTTTCAAAGTAGTAACTCATTTATTTGATTTTCTTGGTGTATGATTTCAGTTATATTTTCCTCTGGAGTTTGTTTTCTGCTAACTTTATTTTATAGTTTGGAGCCTTTAAGTTGTATTGTTACCTTGTCTATTTGAAAATTTTCTATTTTCTTTTGATGTATTCATTTATTATTATAAACAAACAACTAATAAAGATGTATCTAATAGAGTGTGATACATATTGCTCTTCCTTTCATCAATTTCTAGTTTAATTTCATTGTGCTCTGTGAAGACACATGATATGAGTCCTTTTATAAAAGTTTATTGATATTTGATTTGTAACCTAACATATGATCTGTGTTAGACCCAAGGAAAAAAATATCTCCATGACTATCTGCTTAGGCAAGCTTTGTTCAGAGGTGCACAAGGGACTGGTCAAACAGCTGCTTCATCCTGACGTGGGATTTCAGAGAGCAACCCCTCACTGGCTTTTGAGGTCCCTTTTATGAAGAAGGGGAAGGGTTGATAGAAAACAGCTGTGGAGACAATTGACTGTTAGGAAAGAAGTAATGAAAATGAGTTCAAGAATACATCGCGCAGAAGGAAGGTCACCAAGGTGTCTGGAAAGATATGTTTTCATAAGGCCTTCGAAGGGGCAATCGTTTATCACAGATGCAAGAGTTTAGCAAGGTAAAGGGATGGGCATACATCATGGGGTTACAAGTTCAGCATAGGTTGAAAAGCATGCATGGTTTACCGGATACATTGGGTTTAGGAACAGAAACTTATTCTTGTAAGGAACGGAGACTTGATAATAATATGTGGCAATATGGCTCCTTAATAACAATGTGGTTCCTGTCTTGGTTTCACACTTTTTATTGATTTCACCATGCTCTGCAAAGACAAATTGATATGATTCCTTTTTTAACAAAATTATTAGTATTTGATTTGTAACCTAACATATGATCCATTCTAGAGAATGTTCTGTGTCCCAGGGAAGAAGATATATATTCTGATGCTGTTGGTTGAAATGTTTTCTAAATAGCTGTTAGATTCCTTTATTCTATCATATGGTACAACCCTAATGCTTGCCCATTTTCTGTTTGAACTATTTTCCTATTGTGAAAATTAGGGGCTAAAGTCTCTAACTAGCATTGCAGTGGATCTCTACAGTTAAGTCTGTGTCTGCCACTGCCTCTCGAGTGCTGGGATTAAAGGCTGGATTAAAGGCCACCAACGCCCAATGATTGTCTTCTTAATGGTATTTTAAATAGTTTAATAGTTCTATATACTTTAATTGTCCTCATTATTTCCTTCATTTTTATGTTTTCTGTTTTCTTTATTTATTCTGTATTTGTTCTTATGTTTGGTTTCTCTATTTCTTTAATTTTAAAGCTGAAGTTTACATCTCCATTATTTCTGATGACTTGATAGGATTTCTACGTCGACTGTCCTACTCAAGATTTTTGTTTTTTAGGATTTGTTTTTCTTACTGCATTGTGTCACCTGTCCACATCATCTTGTGTTTCACTGAGATATTTTTTAACTTCCTTATTTTTTCAAACATTTTATGGATTTTCTTCCAATTGTGATTGATTCCCGGAGAATCAATATGTTCTCATGAATATTAATTCCCTGCAGTGATTTCTGTACATGTAATGAAACATGTCTCTTATTTTATTGGATATCTTTTATAAGGGAACAATTTAATTTTTTTCATTTAAATAAGGTATCAGTTCATTCTTTGTCTGGTTCTAGGTGACTTAAAAAGTTTAGTGTCCATGTGATTTCTTTCAGTGTAACCAATATCAAAGATTCTAAGAGTGCCTTGATGGTCTAGATTGAAGTGACTCATAAATGTAGTAGTCCACAGTTAAATATGGTGTGGACTTCCATATATGTATGTCCTCAGGCCCTACAAAACCAAGCACTTGTGGCCCGTTGATATGTGATAGCAGCAGTCATGGTTATGCCGATGTACAATCTGTAGAACTGCCTCCAGGTCCCACAAGACAGGTGTTGGGGAAGTACCCATTATATGTACTGGAAGATATAGATGAGTTGGTCCCAGTGTCCTTCAAATCAAGTGCAAGTAGTATATGGGTCTTGTAGGTTTCTGGAATTATAAAATGCTGAGGGATCTGGTATTTGTCTTGTAAAGCACAATGGGACCCCAGATACTGATGGTGCCATAGGCCCTCATAACATCCATTAAGGATTCGAGCACTATGTTAATTAAGAGAGAGAGTAGGAGGCATCCTTGTCTCACTCTTGATTTTAGAGGAAATGCTCTGTCTCTCTCCACTTAGCATAATAATAACTCTAATTTTGTTGTATATGGTCTTTTCATCAAATAGCAGGAAGTTTCTGATTAATTAAGTTTGAATGGTCTTATAGTAGTGTCTTATCCATTAAAACCATTTTTGTTTAACCCTAACTTGTATGGCTGCACTGTTTAATAGTCACTAGAACAGTTTCCTGACTGTACTTCAAAGCAGCATCATTGCTAGAGATGGTCAATGTCTGAGAACAGCTCAGTCCAATCATTGCCAATGAAAAGCTTTCTGATGTTATAAATAATGTTCTAATAAGTTTATAGCTTCCTATGTCTTTGCCTCTATTTCTTTTCTGGGGGTATTAAGAGATTGAATCTTTATCTTTATACTAGTAGCTTCCAAATAGCTTTTGGTCCACACTTTTTCTATGAACTTTATAAAGCATTTAATTCAAATATTAATAGAAATATCTAGCCATCTATACTGTGTATATTAGTGTACTAACTGTTTATCTTTGAGCCTATTCTGCTTCTGTTTACTCTACCTTTGTTAATTCATTAGCATTTAACCTATTACTGATTCCTGACCTCCTGGATCACCCTTAACACCCCCTTCTTCATCTTATTTATCATTAAATTCCTTACCATTTGCATAGTCTTATTCATGCTACTGACTTCCCCTATAAATGATCAGAACTGATCGCCTCCTGTTCTCCCCGAGACTGCTTCCCCAAAGGACCCTAGACCATTCTTCAACCTCTGGTGTGCATC